AATTATTATTTTTGGCGTCCTCGAGTTCTAGAGATTTTACCCTTCAAAGATGTGTTTCTTGTAGGAGAATCTACAACATGAACTCATAAGAACAGGCTGTAAATTTGAAATTTTGCTTGATGTTTGAAGACCTGCTACCATTTTATAATTTTTAATTTAACAGACTTGAATCCAATATTGCTCGCTTTCCATATTGCGCTACATCAGGCTTCTGGCTGTATAAGTTTCTACCAAGTACCTTATCTTGAAGAAAGCACAGTGTATCCTCTTTTGTGTTTTCCATTTTGGAGTATTTAAATTACGTCTCTAGTAATTGATCCCTTTGTAGACTAGATACTCCTGTTGGGAGTCTAAAGAATATGTCTTCTTGACGGGGAAAAAAGGTTTTAATTTTCTAATGTGAGCTTTTTTTTTGTCAGAATGAAAGGGCCACTTTGGAGCAAAAGAAAGCAGAAGATGAAGTCTTGCTTCTAGCAGGGGAACAACAAGTGTGCATCATATTTATTATTTCTTATGATCTTTCTTTGCCTCCATCATGGCTATGGTTGTGCATATTCATCTATTTTGTTTTGATTCTTTTTCCCAAGTAAATGTTATTCAAGTTCGTTATATTTTTTTCAATCATTATTGCCTGTTAGTTCTATACTTATTCTTCAGCATTTAACTTGGATTTTCATATTTTAAGAAGATACATGTGCGTGTATATACAATGATTTAGACCCTTCTCAACCTTCTTATCTCTTTAGTTTCATTCAGGTTTGAAAATCTTCAATTGGAAGAACAATTTGGTCCAAGGATCTCAGTAGTTACTTTTCGTGCAAATTTTGTTTTTTCGCATGCTGAATCTGGCTAGCGTGGATTGGTTTTGCTCATTTCATATGTTTTGAAGCTTTCCATATAAGATTTAGGTTCTTTCTTATTTGGTTTCAGTTCGTAAATTATTAATATTTTAAAGAGAAAAATCTTCAGATTTAATTTTTTTTTTTTTTTTTTTTATTGTTTTTTACCAAATGTTTATGGTTGGTTGGTTATTTTGTGAGATCGGTAGAGGCCTAAGCGTGCTGAAAAACTCATAGACATAAATAACATGCTTTCTTGTGTGGTAATTTAGATTAATTTGTGATGAATTGGGTGTTTATAATTTTACTTCTTAATGCAGAAAGAGAAGGAAAAACTTCACAAAAAGATCATAGAGCTGGAACAGAAGCTTGATGCAAGACAAGCATTAGAGTTGGAAATTGAGAGGCTGAAGGGTTCGTTAGAAGTAATAAAACATATGGGTGAGGATGGAGATGATGATGCCAAGAAAAAAATGGACCAGATTCAACAATACTTGAATGAGAAGGAAGAAGAATTTGAATACTTTCAAAACATCAATCAAAATCTCATCATCAAAGAGCGTAGAACCAATGATGAAGTTCAAGATGCGCGCAAAGAATTGATTCATGTATTTACCTGAAATTTTGAATTTTCCTATTCATCTCTTATTTGTTCCTAGTGAAATACATTGACTTTAAAAAGGTCTAATTACATTGGCAATATCGAAGCTGACTTTTGGATAATGCCTTGACCCTTGTAATTTAATTCCTTCACTCACAGGTGTATGGCGGATCGTCGACCAGAGCCTTTATTGGTGTCAAGAGAATGGGGGATCTTGACAGCAAACCATTCTGCACAGCCATAAAGTTGAAGTATGCCAAGGAAGAAGCAGATGAGAAAGCAGTAGAGTTGTGCTCAGAATGGGAGGACAAGCTTCGTGACCCTAGCTGGCATCCCTTCAGGATTATAGAGGACGATGGAGGACGAGCTAAGGTATGCATTTAAACGTTTGCGTTTATTCCCTGTTGTGGTTTTTCCTTTGGGCGTGTTCTGATAATTGGGTTTTAAGAGGGTCAGTCACCCGTCGACATATATTCAAATGGGATGGAATTTGAAAATGAAGCATGCATTCAAACCAAACCACTGTAACAGTTCAAGTTCAATATTGTTCTCTTTGAACTTTTTTTTTTTGGGATTTCCTTCGAGAGTTTTAAAACGCGTCAGTTAGAGAGAGGTTCTTACACCCTTAAAGAATGTTTCGTTCCTCTCTCCAACCGATGTGGGATCTCACAATCCACGCCCCTTTAGAGCCCAACATCCTTGCTAGCACTTGTTCCTCTCTCCAATCAATGTGAGATCTCATAATACACCCCCTTTGGGCCCATTGTCCTCGCTAGCTCACCGTCCAATGTTCACCTCCTTCGGGGCCCAGCGTCCTCGTTGGCACACTGTCCGATGTCTAGCTCTGATACCATTTGTAATGGCCTATCCCACCACTAGCAGATATTGTTCTCTTTGAATTTTCCCTTTTCGGACTTCTTGTCAAGGTTTTTAAAACGTGTCTACTAGAGAGAGTTTTTCACACCCTTATAAAGAATGGTTCATTCCCTTCTTTAACCGACATGAGATCTCACAATAACAATTTTTATCTTTGTTCGATAACAGTTTCCCACCTTATAACTTTTCCCTTCAGTTTATTCTGATATTGGGAAAACTATTTAATGAGATAGTCTATGACTAATGTTGTTTTTGCATTTTGGACACATGTAAAAGAAACTGAAAAAAAGTTGCATATCTTCCTGTTTTCCTGATATTGGGTTTTAGTAGGGGACATATTTTGAAGTGTAAGGAGTGGATTTGCCTTTGTTTTTTGTTATCATTCTCAAACAACCATGGATGGTTTGTTCAGGAAATTATTGATGAAAATGATGAGATGTTAAAGAATTTGAGGAATGAGTATGGAGATGAAGTTTACAAGGCCGTTGTTACAGCCTTGATGGAAATGAACGAATATAACCCAAGTGGTAGATATACAGTTTTGGAGCTATGGAACTTTAAAGAGGGAAGAAAAGCGACATTAAAGGAAGGAGCAGCTCATATATTGAAGCAATGGAAACTGCACAAAAGAAGGAAAAACTGAAGGCAAGAGCTCCAGATTTCCATATTGGTAAGTTTTCCTGTTCTAATTACTTTTAATGGAGAACTATTAGAAGGAAATGATTTTTTATTCCCTTTGTTTTTTGTTAATACAATAAATGTAGGTAGAGATTTAAACCCGAACCTTAAAAATAAATAAATAAATAGATGCCATAACTATTGAACTAGGTTCGAGTTTGATTGTATTTCTTTTTCATTTGAACTAATATTAGCAACCTTGACTTCTCAAATTTCTGAATTGTTTTCATGATCGGACGAATAACTTGTATTAGGACAGTTAGTGATAGGACACTTTTAAGGTCATATTTTAATTCAACTACATGTCTTAATCATTAAGATTCAATTTTTCAAGTGGGTAAACCATAATTTAAGAATGACTTATGAGATCTAACCAAATTATATGGATTAGTTTGGCGAAATTGATACTTTTAAAACTATAGCTCATGGAAGCCTAAGTGGCATTGGACCGAGGTTGTCCTTCTCATCATTTGGATCTCCAGAAAGATCGGAGCACACAATTCCTCCTTGCTTCAGTCCTATTTGAACTCATTCTAGCAACAAAACCTTCATGTGGTAAGGCTCTGCCCGTCCTTCCCTTATCCCTCTACTTGTCAAACGGTTCCAGTATGCCTATACAATCAAAGTGAAGAAGCAAGCTCAAACCAACCCGATTGGAAAGATAAGTTTTACTCTTTTAATGTAGTAGATCAAACGAAGTCTAAGAGAATTATATGCACAAAGGAATAAACTATTATTACCAAGTTGTCCCACTATAAGTAGATATATCCCCTAAAATTTAGATTCAAAATTGCCATTTTGTTTGAAACCATTTCCACATCCAAAGGCCCTTCATTCTTTCCCCAAACAGAAGTGAAAAATTTAAATAAAATTTGTTGTGGTTTGCTGGCTTGATGTGACATTCATGTGATTGAATTAATAGGCTAAATTAATTTGTCACTCTACCTATTTATAATTATTTCAACCCAATGCCTAAACTTTCATGCCATCCAAAGAAAAACAATATAGTTACTGATGATTACCATCCGTGTTGGTAGGTTGGGTCGGGTCGAGTTTGGACATTTTTTAGACATGGCCCGTATATTTTTTTACCTAATCTAAACCACTTGTAAACTTTTTATTTATTTGTATCCAACCAAATCCAATATATTCATAATTCAACTCAAATGGTACACGTTGGATCATCATATTTTTTTTGAAGGGTTATTTAATAATAATATTAGGGCTTATATTTATTTAGAATTTTATAGGCTATTTCTTGCTTCTTTTTCTTTTTTTATTTTTGCATAGCTAATTAAAGAACTTAGGATTCCAATTCCTTCGCTTTCAATTACCATTGTTAATAAAAATAAATAGGGACAACTAATTATTGAGTATAACTCATTTATAAATGAATTACTATAACATTATATCATAAATAATGTTACTTTTAATTAATGAGTGGTTTCAATAAATAATGTCAACTTTTTTGTGCTTTTAAGGCATCTCTAGCCAAGAAAGTTGCATTCTTTATATGCTTTATAATATATTTTTAAAAAAACTTGAATAAAATTAAATTTTAAATAGAGATATTCAAATGACTTGAGAACTCAGACATCCAGACTACCCACCTAATCACCTTAGTACTTGATATAATAATTTAAAAAAAAAACGAGTAGAGATGTTCAAATGACCGAGAACGTGACAAACTCAAACTATCTAATTCAAACTCAAATAGGGTTACAAACCATCCCTACTTTTTAAAATTATATGAAAATTAAGAATATTTGATATTTGTAACATATGATAGTGATGACATGGTTTGATATTTAAATTTTATAATATTTTATTTATTAATATATAATATAATTTTTTAAAAGTAATTAAAATACAACCCAGTAATCAGGCTCTATCCAATCGATTGAGTTGGGTTGAATTGTGAACTCTATTTAAATTGCTCGGGTCACCAATCTAATTAACTCAAAATTTTGATTTTGGATTCAATCCAATTTAACGGGTGGATATCGTTGAGCTTAAATTAACAATTAATCTAGTATATAAAAAAGTAGCTAAAATACATAATTCATTTTGTTGTTAAATAAAAATGCTTGGGAACACATTAATTATAAAAATAAATATATTATATCATGTTGGACTGTGGACCACACTTTTGTTCAGCCTCCCCAGCCTTCTTCCACGTCATATATTTACTTCACACTCAAGAATACTCCAATCACCTCACGCCACGTCAAATCCCAACTCTTCACTCTTATTGGTCTGTCCTCTCCTCGTTTCAAACCCTAAAATTCTTGCCGATGAAGGTCTGACCAAACTGCCAATCATCTGGCGCCACGTTATACGTGGTGGATGTCCGTCTGTCACTGCCTGTGACTCTAAAAGACAGTGCCTGGCCCACCAACACGGCGTTTGACTGCCAGTTTTGACCCCAGTTCCGGCTCATTCTCATCCACCCGGTTCGCGTGCCCTTCACGCTCACCTTCACGATATCCCCTGCACCCGCGACGTTCGTGATTAAAACCAAGTTGAAGTACCTAAACCCATGGATTGTGAACCGGATCCCCCCTTGCTTCCGGCATGACACCCTGCGTAATTAAAAAATTAATTTTATTTTTTAAATATATATATATATATATATATATATATATATATATGATAGTTGCAAGGGTACCATAAAAATTAGGGTAGCTAAATGGCGTACATGAACCCCGATTAAGCTAACTAATATCCTATCTACACGTCTAACTAAATGGACTAGGTGGTGCCACGAAATTCGTGTACTAAGGTTTCGAACTTGTGTAACATCTGTTGGATGATAAAAGTCCCACTTCGACTAATTTAGGGAAGGATTATGGGTTTATAAGTGAGGAATACTAACTTCATTGGTATGAGGCCTTTTGGGAAGCCCAAAGCAAAGCCATGAGAGCTTATGCTGAAAGTGGATAATATCATACCATTGTGGAGAGTCGTGTTCGTCTAACAACATCGAACATGAGTTTGTATTCTATTTTAATCTCGTTGTTTAGGATATTCTATTATGAGTACTATAGCTACAACGGGTATTGTTTAGCATACTAGAAAATTAATTGCCGCTAATACAGATATCCAAAGGCACACTTAAATATATTTTAAATATAAAAATAAATTTTATTTTAAATATAACTAACTTGTAATTTTTGTTTTTAATAGATCTACAATTTTTTTTAAATAAAATAAATTAAATTAACGAAAGGGGTAAAATGGTAATTTAAAGAAAAAAATAAATAAAAGGCAGAGGAAGAAGGAGGCTGACCGGCGGTAGGCGACGGGGACGATACCGGCGCGATATTCAGCGATCTTGAGAAACATAGGCATGGCCAAATCGAAATGCGGGCGAGGAGGGTTACACCAGCCGCCATTGTCACTGGGCAGAGCAAAGTTGGGCGGGCAGAAGTTGGTAGCCGTAATGACAATCGACGGGCTACCCGAATGGCACCATCTCGGGTCATTCGCACATTTGATCTCGAAACACGCGCCACAGCTCAGCCCATTGTTGAATAGCGCCGTACTCAACGCCGCCGTGTTCACCCCGTACCCTTGGCTGTACAAATTCCCATACCCACAAGCCCCACCTGAGTGCACACGGACCCAAATGAGAATGTGGGCTAAAACTAGCCCCAAATTCTTCTGGACAAATATATATTTATGTTAAACTAAGTAAGTATCAAGATATTTGTCAATAATAAAATATAAAATATCATATATAAATAGCTAAATATCCTTTCCACCCACAATCAAAACCCAAATCTCAACCCATTTCTTTGTTTCTTTCAACTTTCGAGCCTACCCATTGTGCCGGATGCGTCGGAGCCGCCGTAGAAGGTGGCGTGAGCGGTTTGCCATGGGCCACCGGAGTAGGCGCCGGGAATTCTAGCAGCGGCCGTCCACATTGCTGAGATGAGAGACACAAGGCAGAGGAGAACGGCGGGTTTAGCCATTTTTTTGGTTCAATCTGGAAGAGGAAATGGGAGGAGTACTTAACGGAGGAGGAGGACGGGTATGTATGTGAATTTACAATTACACCCCTCATTTAATGTCGAATCTTTTGTGTGTCTGTGAAAACAGTTCTACAAACTTTCTTTTATTTTTCTTTTTACCACAAAACATTTTAATTTTTTTTTTTAAATAACGGTTTAATGAATTTTTTTAAAAAAAATTAAGGATATTTTTTAAGCCAAGAAAATTACTGACAATTTCATTCAAATTTTAGGTATGCGTTTAATATTTTTGTCATAAAATATTCTTTTTTTTTTTAAATTATAAGGATTCGATGGAAATCGATTTAAGAGGAGAATGAAACATCATTCTATTAGCAATGGGTCTGAGCCATTACAAATGATGTCAGACCCAAATATCTTGGCGATATGCCAACAAGAAGGTTGAGCCCCAAAGAGGTGGGCACGAGGCGGTGTGCGAGCAAGGACACTGTTTCGAAGGGGTGGACTTGGTGAGGGTCCCACATCAATTGGAGAAAGTAACAAGTGCAAGCAAGTATGTGAGATCCCACATCGATTGAGGAGGATAATGAAACATCTCTTATAATAGTCTGGTTAAAAACATTGAGGATAAATCTAAGAGTACAATATTTGCTAAGGTTAAAAAAATAATAATAAATATATATATATATATATATATATATATATATATATATTAATTAATTAATATTTGCTAGGGATAAACATCTCTTATATGATATATTTGGTACATCACGATGTATTTATCTTAATATTTTAATTTTAGATAAGTAATTTAAAAATACACCATTAATATGATATATATATATATATATATATATATATATATATAATCGCTTAAATTGTGAAACGAGAGATTCAGATTGGTCGGAAAAAATGGTGAAAAAATTAAAAAATATATAATATATAATGTGAAAAAAAAAGAAAAAAAAATTACAATAATATTGTAAATATGATATGAAATGGAATCCAGCTATATACGGTCAAGCTTCCACGTTCTCTCTCTTACGTGTCAACGCGCTTATTATTCTTGGTCTTTTACCATTTTAACCTTCTTTCTTTTTTGCCCTTTTTACCTATTTTCATCCATATTTTTTAGAGAAGTACAAATTATTTCACTCAGATTAAAAAATATATTTAGATAATTGGTTTTTTTAATAAAAAGTAAAAAAATCAATTGTTTTTTTACCTACTAACTCACTTATTGAATAATATAATAAATCATGATTTAACCTATTTAAACGTTGCTCTCATCATTTAATATTACATTAAAATGAGATATTGACAATTATATCAAGAAAATCCTAAAACGATTTATTAGATATAGAACTGAGAATTCTAGACTTATTCAATACATATTTAGAAGCTTGGTTGATACATATATACTATTTTAATTAACGAGCTAAAATACTCGAGTGTTTATATGATTTAGTAACCGACTAAAACAAATTATAAACGTTGGGTTGAATTAGTTACAATCCAATCAAATCTAAAATTTTAAATTATTACAAAAATATATATATATATATATATATATATATATATTTGAAGGTACACAATAAAAGTTGTGTGGCGTTCTACAGGGGATAAAAACCTGTTACCCCAACAGACAATGCAGTAGTTGGGGTTGGGGAATAATTAGAACCAGAAAATCAATTATTTATTTTGCCTTTTTTTTTTTTGGGTAATATACAATAGCATTAATTAGCTGCAGTATTATTTTTATTTTTCATGGAAATTATTTATTTATTTATTTATCTTTATAAACAAAATTTAAATTAAATATCCTTCCTAATTTAAACTGTTTTCTTAATTATATGAAATAATTTTTCATGGCATAAAGTTGATTTATTTTTATAAATTATATGAAATTTTAAAATAATAATGTAGCTAAGATTTTATTTTCATAAAAGAAATTTAAGAAAATAACTTAGGTATATGACTTTTTGTCCCTCGACATAGTGCAAAACCATTAGAATAAGAGACCGATTATGTTTGAATGCATTTAATTTAAATTAGCCCTAAAAATGTAGGTTTAATGGCTTAGGTCCCGAAACTCTAATAGATGTTGAATTTGAAGCGACATTGCAATTACATATCGGCCCACAATTTCTTTTCATATTACTAGATTTGTTTCATATTTATTCATGAGGTTTGATTATTAAATAAATAAATAAATAATTTAAAAATTAAAAAGTATTTTTATTAATTTAGTTTTTTTAAAACAAAATATATTTAATTTTTATAATTTTAAAATGGAGAAATTATTTAATAAAAACTGTGGCGTCGGGATTTTTGGGGTATGAGCTGGAAGCGGGGACCACAGAAGAAAGCATAATCGTCGGTGGAGAACATTATCTAAACCCGTACTCCGACCGCACGAAATCCGAAACCCTTATCCCTATGTAGCCCAAGTAAGTGACACGTCACCTGCACATGCATCTATCTTAATAGACTCGCAGATCCTAGTAGCCGCCACGTGGGAGAAGTCAAAGGCTGTGTTGACATTGGATTCTATACCCTATTTGGAACACATGCAAACCTAACACAAAGGATTACAAGACATAGACAAGCACGCACGCCTTGGCTCTTTCCCTTTATGGTGAGAAACATTCTCGTTTTTCTCAACAATTTGCAAAGATTCTATTTGTTTTCATGTTTCTCCCTCAAAATATTCTAACTTTTCGAATCGTATTTGATCACCCGTCGTGTAATTCGATCTAAGAACTAAAGTTTGTGATTGGAGTTGTAGGGTGAACTTTGAAAAGTCGATAAGTGAGTACAATTTGTAACAATTCAAGCTCACCGCTAGCAAATATTGTCCGCTTTGCCATTTTACGCGTCGCCGTCGTAAAAAAAATGAATCTACTAGGAAGAAGTTTTTATACATTCATACAAAAATATTTCGTTTCTTTCTCCAACCAATATGAGATATCATAATTCATCCCTATTTGAGGCCAGCATTCTCACTGACACACCGCATTGTATTTGACTCTTATATCATTTGTAATAGCCAAAGTTCACCACTAGTAAATATTGTCCATTTTGCACTGTTACACATCGTCGTCAGCCTCACTGTTTTTAAAACGTGTCTATTAGGAAAAGGTTTCTGTACCTTATAAGGAATGCTACATTCCCCTCTCCAACCAATATGAGATCTCATAATCCTCCTCCCTTCCTTTTGGTGCCCAGCGTCTTTGTAGACACACTGCATAATGTTTAGCTCTGATACCATTTGTAACATCAAAGTTCACCGCTAGCAAATATTGTTCACTTTAGCCCGTTAGGTGTCGCCGTCAACCTAATGATTTTAAAACGTGTCTACTAGAGAGAGACTTTTCACACCTTTATAAGAAATGTTTCATTCTCCTCTCCAACCAATATAAAATTTCATAATTCAGTTCCTTGGAAGCCTAACGTTCTCGCTGACGCATTGCATGATGTCTTGCTCTGATACCATTTGTATAAGGAAAAGCTCACCGCTACCAACTGTTATCCACTTTGCTCTGTTACATATCACAGTCAATCTCATCAATCTCATAGTATTAAAACACGTCTATTATGGAGAGATTTCCACACCCGTATAAGAAATGTTTTATTGCCTCTCCAATCAAGGTAGTTTATCTCCCGGAATTCCAAGCTAAGTTATGTCTAAATCGCGAGAGAACCGCTAAGAGGTCTTCCCTAGCTGGTTCACATGGGTGACCCAAGGAGAAAGATCAACTAGTAACAGTAAAGGCGAACATAAGCTAACATAAGCTAAGGCGCGTGGTTTACACTGGAGCATAGGGGCGCGTCACATCCACACGTCCAAGCCAATTTCAGCCCCCATGTGCTCGTCTCAGTTTCAGACAGCTAATACATATGAACAAATGATATACCCCCACGTGGCATACTCGTTGAGAAATAATTACCTGCATGCGGGACCAGCCTGACCTCACGGCCCCTGATCGCCACATGGTTACACTGTGATTATAAGTGTTTTTTTACCTTTTCAAAGGCATTTCCGACCCGAGTTTCATTAAGAGTGAAAATTATTCCCACAAACTAACACGAGCCTTCCCAACATGTTTTGTCATAGCTGACATGTATCTTAGAAAATTTTTCAGGAGATCTCTCAACATAAAATTACTTCAAGCAAAACACGCTTAATTATAACGTTCCTATAATCGAGCCATTGAAAAAAAATGTGCATGTTGTTGATATAAATAATGACTTTCATAATGTTGGTCGGTACCGATGATGAAAATTTTGAATGTTAATAATAATAATAAATTTTGGACATTAATGAATTTATATAATTAGTTTGGTAACACTATTGGACATTAATAACCTTGATGAGTCTTTATTCAAAACTTAGTTGGAGAAAGAAATTAATTTCACTTACCAAAAATCTCCTCCCCTATTTAAGACAATAAATGAATTGAATAAATAAATAATTTTAATTATTGAATTTTTTTTTAAAAAAAAAGATGTCTTTAATATTCTTTTATAATTTGAATATTTTTTCCTATAAATTTATGAGATTTGATTGGTTAGTTATTTAAATAAATTATTTGAAATTATAGGTATCAGTCACTTTTTAGGATGAGGGTATTATAGACATTTACTAAATCTAAATATAGTATTTTTAATATTAGTATTTTTCAAAATGCTTCTGAACCCTATAGAGAATGAAGTTTTGGGCCGACAACTGGGCCGACAACTGGACCGGGTCGATTATGAATCTGAGGCCCGAAACAAGAATGGCCCAGTGCTGTAACGGATAAGATATATATTTAATGAGCTGTCATGGCCTTTCTTCTTTGATCTATAATATTTATAAACGTGGTTACGAAGGAAAATCTTTGTAAAATTCCTATTTTGTCCTTTGTTACAACTATTCTAAGTCGAGATGGTTATGAGGTGGTAGCGGAAAAATTGATGTATCATTCACCTTTTGTGAGATCCCATATGAGTTGGAGAGGAGAACAGAATATTATTTTATAAGGGTGTGAAACCTATTACTAATAGACGCGTTTTAAAACTGTGAGGCTGATGACAGTACGTAACGGGCTAAACTGGATAATATCTACTAGCAATGGACTTGGATTGTTACAAATGATATCATGTCCCCAAGGGGTGTGGATTGTGAACGGTTGATCTTAGCCAAAACTAACATGACCATAAAACGTCAGGCTTGCTTTTGTTGTCTACGACATGGCTTCTCTCTCGTCATTGTCTTTGACTTCTCACACTTTCTCTTGTCGTGTATTGACCACGTGAAACATGACAATAATTGGTTTAATCAGTGGACTCTCCGGGACGAAACTCGATTTTAGTCCATATATTAATTTTTTTTAAGAGGGTTTATATTAGCTTAAACAAAAAGATTAAAGGGTTGGTTGCTCTTTTAACAAAAGAAAGCATTTCTCTTTTGGTCCTTTAAGTAAGGCATATTCCAACAACATTGCATTGGTAGTTGGAATAAGATACACAAAGATGACCCAACAAACTTACTTTTTTCCAAACTAACTTCCTATATTTTATTACTTTTTACAAATTCCACCCTAAACTTTCAATTTTATCAAATTCAACCCAAAATGAAAACATCAGCGGTAGAGAAGTAGATTGTGAGATTCTACATCGGTTGTAGGGGGAAACAAAACATTCTTTATAAAGATAATCTCATTAACAGACACATTTTAAAATCGTAAGGTTGACAGGAATATGTAATGGGACGAAACGGATAATCTCTACTAGCGGTGGACTTGGGCTGTTACAAATTATATTAGAGCTAGATACCGAGTGGTGTGTCAGTGAGGACATGGAGCCTTGAAGAGGGTGGATTGTGAGATCCCACATCGATTGGAGAGGGAAACGAGTGATAGCAAGTAACAAGAACGTTGGGTCCCGAAGGGTGGTGGATTGTAAGATCTCACAAACGAGTGCCAATGAAAACTATAGATTCCAAATGGGATGAATTGTGAGATCTCACATCGGTCGAAAAGAAGAACGAAACATTTTTTTGGAAGAGTGTGAAAACCTCTTCTTAATAGAGTAAGAATCAAACTTTGAATAATGTAAGAAATATCTTACTTTTTTTTTTATTTCAATTTAACCATAAGTGAACAGGAAAAACTTAGAATCTCCGTTCTCCTTTTATAGCTTAACTAATTGAGTTATGTCTATGCCCGAAGTCATTGAAAGACGTGCAGAGAAAGTGATAGATGAGATCCACAGAAAGTTTCTGTTTTTTTTTTTGAGTGAAAAGTTAAATCTAAATGTTGATTTCGCGTTAATAAGGCCAAAAATGTTCGTGAAAAGAGATTGATTTCGACGCTTTCGGCTTCCTATTCCCTCCAAATCAAGCCACTATAAATCTGAAAACCCACCATTCCCCTCAAATTTCTTGTTCTTAATTTCAAATCCCATTGGTTCCATCGATTCTTCAATTTCCCCCAAAATGGGTTTCCTCCATCTCTAGAATTTGATCTTTCTAATCAAACCTTGTAAATGGCGAGGGATAAACCCGCCGCCAACATCGAAATCAAGGTCCATTCCCGTCATGGAGATCCGGCGGTAGAACCTTCTGCGGCGGCCGCCAGATCACGACCGTCGAGGACTCCCTCGACCGGATTCGGCCAGTTCCGGCCGTTTAAGAAGTGGATTCCATGGCTGGTGCCGGTGTTTGTCGTTGTCAATTCCGTTCTGTTTTCGATTACTATGTACGTTAACGATTGCCCTAAAAACTCTGCCTCTTGCATTGGTACGTTTCTGGGCAGGTTCTCGTTTCAGCCCTTTAAAGAGAATCCCCTTCTTGGCCCTTCTCCTTCAACGTGAGTTTCTATCAATTCCACTGGGTTTTTGTTGGTTTTTCAAATTAATCGACTGTTTCATTAGAAGTTATTGTTATGTTCTGATTATCTGATGATCATTGAAGAACAAGTTCTTGAGATAGTAATTCATTTGAATGTAAATTTGAGATGATCATTGCTTAATTGAACCTAAGTTCTTGTTTCTTACTTGATTCAATCTCAAAATTTCAGATTAGAAAAGATGGGTGCTCTGGAAGTTGATAAAGTGGTTTATGGGCACCAGCCATGGAGATTGATCTCTTGTTTATGGCTACATGCAGGGGTGTTCCATATACTTGCTAACATGCTGAGTCTTCTTTGCATTGGAATTCGGCTCGAGCAAGAATTCGGTTTCGGTATGCACCCGTCTTTAAAAGTAGAGCATTCATTGATTAGTGGCCCATTTGGATAGCACGTGTTTGAGCATAGTTCACTGAGTTAGACACGCTTTAGATTCTCAAAGGTCGATGGTTTGATCCCCACCCCGAATTATTGATCTAAACGAACACATTTTAGAAAGGCTAATGAGATCATATGGAATTTAAAGTTTTGTTTAGCGAACATATTTGAGACGATCATCAATGTGATTATATTGACTGCATTATGTGATGATTTTCTTTTCTGATTCATAGTTTGAATTGGGATGCTGTATTACTTGCTAACATGCTGAGTCTTGTTTTCATTGGAATTTGGCTCGAGTAAGAATTCGGTTTCAGTATGTACCCGTCTTTAGAAGTATAGCGTTCATTGATTAAAGGCCCATTTGGATAGCACATGTTTTCATTTTGTCAATCTGAACATAGTTCACCTAGTTAGATACCCTTTACATTTTCAGAGGTCAATGGTTTGATCCCCGCCCCCAAGTTATTGATCTAAAAGAACACATTTTGGAAAGGCTAATGAGATCATATGGAATTTAAAGTTTTGTTTAGTGAACATATTTGAGATGATCATCAATGTGATTATATTGACTGCATTATGTGATGATTTTCTTTTCTGATTCGTAGTTCGAATTGGGATGCTGTATATTGCATCCGGGTTTGGTGGCAGTTTGCTGTCGGCTCTGTTTATTCAGTCGGGTATCTCCGTAGGTGCTTCAGGCGCTCTTTTTGGTCTCCTAGGAGGCATGTTGTCGGAGCTTCTTACGAATTGGACGATATATGAAAATAAGGTAAAGGAAGTTCAAAATAGAAAGTTGACTCGACTGTCTATGCATTGTCTAGTGACTGACTCAGAATCTGTGATGAAGCTTGCAGCCTTGTTGACTCTCGTTTTCATCATCGTAATCAATTTGGCCATGGGCGTGCTTCCTCATGTCGATAATTTTGCTCATATTGGAGGATTTATCTCAGGTTTTTTTCTTGGGTTCGTGTTTTTGGTTCGTCCTCAGTTTGGATGGGTTAGCCAACGAAATGAACCTCGTCGACATAGCTCAACTTCGAAAGCTAAATATAAGCCATATCAGTATGTGCTATGGATTGCATCTTTCTTGTTACTGATTGCTGGGTAAATCCTTATCTTTTAGTTCGTAGTTTTTGAAGTTCCTGTTTGAGCTGATGAATGTGCTTACTTGTTTTCTTCAAGTTCATCCCTACGTTCATATAGAATTTGTTGCCCACCATGGATATTACTGACATCTTGGAGTTGACAGGTTCGCGGTTGGTTTGGTCTTTCTCTTTAGAGGGGAAAATTTGAATGATCGGTGTTCGTGGTGCCATTATTTGAGCTGCATTCCGACGTCGAAATGGAGCTGCAACTCGCAGAAATTCTCTTGTGAGGTACTAACTATACTTTTCTTGCCTCAAATCAGTTCAAATCCTAGTATACCATAACCTCTACATATCTTCACGAAATGGTATGTTGCCTAATGTAACAGCCTAAGTCCACCGCTAGTAGTTATTGTCCGTTTTGGCCGGTAACGTATCATCGTTAGCTTCACGGTTTTAAAATGCGTTTATTAGGGAGAGGTTTCTACACCCTTATAGAGGTTTTCACACCTTTATAAAGAATGTTTCGTTCCCTTCCCAACCAATGTGGGATCTCACAACCCACCCCTTTTGGGGGCTAGCGTCTTTGCTGGCACACTACTCGATGTTTGGCTCTGATACCATTTGTAACAGCCCAAACACACCATTGTTCGCTTTGGTCCGTTATGTATCTTCTTCAATCTCACGGTTTTAAAACGCATCTATTAAGGAGAGGTTTCCACACCCTTATAAAGAATGTTTCGTTCCCTTTCCAACCAATGTGGGATCTCACAATTCACTCCTCTTGGGGGCCAGCGTCCTTGCTAGCACACTGCCTGATGTCTAGCTTGATACCATTTGTAACAACCCAAACCCATCGCTAGCAGATATTGTTCGCTTTGGCCAGTTACGTATTGTCGTCAGCTTCACGGTTTTAAAACACGTCTACTAAGGAGAGGTTTCCACACCCTTATATCCAATGTTTCGTTCCGTCTCCAACCAATGTGGGATCTCACACCTAAACTCTCATGTCCAACATTAGTAAACATCAGATCGGGTCGAGTCATTCATATATTAGATTGAGTATCGATCTCTTTTCCTGAAACTCGTGGGTTGGCCTGTTTGGTCCGTATTGAAAATGTATTACGGATCAAGCCCTCCTATACTCAGTATCACGTTTTCCATACAGTTTGAGGTGATATCTTAATCCTATCTCTCAACAAGCTTGCTTACAGAACTGTTTTTTACAAACTATGATGGGTGGATTGTAATGGTTAATGCTACTCTCTACTTAAGTCCAATAATTTCAGAATAACTTTGTTCTAAGACTCGCACACCCCCTATGAAGCATGGCGTTTCTAAACTTCGTAACATTCGTGCAGACGAGTCAGTTGGGGAATCAGCTGAACATGACGTGCCTAAGCAACGGACGAAGTGGCTCGTATTCGTTAGCCAACAGTACATCGTCTGAGGCACAGCAGATATGTACTCAGCTCTGCAGTTGACTTAGGTAAGATATAAAGCTTTATACAGAGAAAAATGTGTGGAGACTTGATAGAGCTCTTCCTATCGTAGTTTTATGACCAAAGTGTATATGACACATTTAATCCTGTCTTCATTCAAACAACTAGTCTTTTATTGTTTATATTAAGTCGAGTATGAACGTGTTTTTTACTCCATTTGATAACCATTTGATTTTTAGTTGTTTTATCACGATTTTTGTTAAGTGGTTTCTATTTTTTTTAAGAACACATTTGAATTTATAGCTACCGTGTAATATAACTTTTGTTTTCGTTTGATATCGGGATATGAGACTTTGTCAACCTTAGCAAGGAAGCCTACCGAACGAGTAAATAACAAAGTTGTGTCTCAATTGCTTGGTTGCTCCCGCTCCTGCTCACTTAAATACAACGTATAATGCAAATGAATTTGAACTCGATAAGGGTAGTTGTATAATCGCAACATATGTCTTGGGGTCACCTCGTTTGTCCTTTTGTTTTCTTTTTTTCTAACAAGGCAATCATTATCTCAACCCAACCCATCTATCGAAGATTTTGTTGGAGCAAAAATCCTTGAATTTTTAGAGAAATTAACATCTCCTTATACAAAATTCTAACACCTCTTTATACAAAATTCAGATCAATCCAAAGATAAAACTGAAATTAATTATTTCTCTCAAGATTTAGAAGCAAGATTTGAAACTTTATTCTAAAATGAGTAACTCCTCAATCACTTTCTATACGTCCATAGTTACTTGAAATATTATAAATGACAAATATGATATTCAAATTTCTATGCGTGAAAGTCTCAACTTGACTTTCAAAATTCCAAATGGTTCTTCACTCGAGTCAGTTTGTAAAACATGAAATGAAGGTTGAAATGAGTTTTGAATGAATATTTGTTGAATTTTCTTGACTTTATCGTGTAATAGGTCAAGTTTGAACATTTTTGAAACACTATGATCCTTGTCACTTTCTTTTATTTTATATCTAAATGGTTGTTACTCTAATACTCTGAAGGTCAAAAGTTGAGTGACAGTATCGGGACACTCAGGTCGATCATAAACCTATACATGTCTAATCCAAACATGTTGAGTCCATGTTAACCTTGTATATGGATCATGACGAGGATGATTCGAATATTCAATCTCGCAGGCTAGACATAGATATTGTGAGTGAGGAGTATGAACTAGATCTTTGTCACGTGGTCAATATAAAAATATCTTTAAAATTTTTCAATAATATATGAACTTTTGACCGTGCTTAAAATACTATTAAACTTAAAAAAAAAAAAAAAAAAGAAAGTATTTTATTAATTTAATCTTATTTTTAAGTTAAAGTTTAAAATGATTGGCGCAATTGTAACGGTTAGCTATTTTATGGAGTGATCTCCGCCGTTTCTTCAAAAATTTTATAAATAAAATAAAATAAAAATGAATAAATATATAGTAATAATAATAATAATAATAATAATAATAATAATAATGATAATAAACCGTCTTTTTCATTCTCCCGCTCGCCAAACCCTCGGCGCCTCGAACCCTCCGTAACTTCCTCTCAAATCCTCTCTGCAACTTCCTCCATCTCAGGTATCTTCTCTCTTCTCCTTAGTTTTTTCTTCTTACTGTTCATTCTATTTATGCCTCTGTTCTTCTGAGCTTCATTTCTCAGAATCTGCACACAAAAAAACCCATATCGTCACCTTTTTCGAGATCGGCAAACTTTAATCCTTTCATGTAATGGAGCTCTCTCGGCTTTAAATTTGATTTCAGCAAGCCAGCTTTTGTTAAAAATTTTATTTCAACAGCCAGCTTTTGGGTGTTTCTCTGATAACAATATAAAAAGAGATCTCTAGTGGGGCCTTTACAGGAAGAAACGAAGCCTGGTATTAGAGATTCGTGTATTGGCATGGTTTTCTTTTTGATGACTTTAATGATCCTTGCATGAATGTTCTATGTATGCTGTTTTTTTTTTTCCTGTCTTTCTTTGGGATTTATTGGAAACCATTTACTGGAGAGCTTGATCTTATAGAGACTGAATCGACATTTCTTTAGCAATGGCTGTTGAGATTTCTATTTTAATGCCCTGGTTTCTTCTGGGAGTATGGTTTGTTCTATAACATCTTAAAGGCATATATTTTGAATGAAACATCTTAAAGGCAGGCGTTGGGAGCTGCAAGGGCTATTTTGGTGCTGATATTTACGTTAATTGGCATACATTATGCTATACATATAATGGCCCATGCCCTTCTTGCTATCACAATAGAATACAATCAATCTGCTGCAGTGATACTTGGGAACCAAGCTGGTTTCTTTTTCATTTTCTTTTTCTTTGGTGACCTAACAGCTATCTAGGGCTGTTTTTGAAATAGTCTAGCATAAGATTGTGATCCTCTGCTAGCATATTGAATTTTAAAAGATAAATCTATTACAGGTTACTAATAGCATTGAAATATCTTTTCGAGTGAATCTCTTGGGTATGATTGAACAATCTCCGGGGACTTTCGGTATCACTTTTGATAGAACTTTCGGTATCACTTTCTCTATAATTTTCGATCTAGTCCTTCACTCTTGCTCTGATCTCCCCTACGCCTAGCAGGAATTTAATTTGGTGTCGCGGCTGCTCCAATGGCGGATCTCTATCTCTATCTCTCTCTAGATATCTAAAGATGGAGGGAGAAGTGAAAGTAATAGTCTTATGTTGTGGCTGCCCTCCCGAGTTACGGCGGCCACTACTGTGATGTGAGTGGTTCAAATTGGTTTGACCTTTCCCAATTATCTTGGTCGGAGCTTGTTAAAGTTTTGGAATTATGATAAAAAGTTTCAAATAGGGGGTAATTAGGGTAGGTTTAAGCCCTTGAGACGACTTTTGGAAGGATGAAAGTGATTTACCCCATTAAATTTTTTTTCTAGGGTTTAATATCCTACCATTTTAAAGTAATATATAGTAAAGAATTTAGAGTCTAGGATTTAATATCCAACTAGTTTAACCAAATGTAGCAGGGTCAAATAGTTGTCTCGTGAGAATAGTCAAAGATGTTCTAGCTTAAATACTCATGGACATAAAAGAAAAGTGTGGAAAGCGGCCTAAGTAGCCGTTTTGAGTTATAGGAATGGCTCTTTGGCTGACTGTTTTTCTTGCTACCTTCTGTAATATTTAGCTTTAGAAAAAAATAAGAGATCAGTAGTGATAGCAGGTGTTTTTCTTGGATACTATATGGGCAATGGACTAGACAGTTTGGCATATTTTGGTTTACAATTTTGGGTCCAAATTTTGGTTTACAATTACAAAACTTGTTAAGACTTAGTGTTATATCCCACCTGGTTGGAGAGGAGAACGAAACATTCTTTATAAGGGTGTGGAAACCTCCTCCTAGTGGACAAACGCATTTTAAAAACCTTGAGGGGAAGCCCGAAAGGAAAAACCCAAAGTGGATATCTACTAGCGTGAGCTTTGGGCTAGTAGATAGTACCAAATTGTGGGAATGACAATGTCGAAGAATAGACAGATTGCTTGAGGAATGTGTGTTACTGCTAATAAAGTGGCATTGTTGATTTCATTAGCCTATGCAAAGTTTCCTCTTCTCCACTTAAAGTTAACAAAAACAATAGTTGTATTTCAATTATTCTAGATGTATTTGGGACTAAATTCTAACAGCTACATTTATTTTCTTTTGTCGATATCGTTTCTAGGTTAGTCACTCTACTGGACTTACGGTTCTATGGGGAAAGGACGTGTTCGTGGCATGAAGTTAGGACCCACACCCACCATAGTGTTCAAGTCTACACCACGTCAATTTACCGAGATTGAGATTCATAATGAGGCCAACAATATGGAAGATTACGAAAACGTAGATGCTAGACTTTCGATATTAGAGTTGAAAATGGCCAATATGCTCTCGATTTTGGAACAAAATGGTTTCATGCAATCCAATAATCTGACTGCTGCACATACAAATGGTGATTCGCCATACTGTATATACAAGAATCCTGGACGTGTTTGTGGCATGAGATTACAACCTACATCGACTCAAGTGTTCAGATCTACCTCACACCGTAATATTCGTAATGAGGCTCGTATGGATCAAAATGTAGATACTAGACTTTCAATATTAGAGGCTCAAATGACGAAGGTAGTTTCGATCTTACGACGAAATGGTCTGATGCAAGGCAATATATGAACAGAACCACCACAGAAGTTTCAAGACATCACTAGGTATGACCCCCTAATGGTGCATCAAGTTTGTGAAGTCAACTCAAGATGTTTCTTAATGTTTTAGCCGAGTCTGTAATGGTAAAACAATTTGATCGCCCAACTCTTAGGCTTAAATATCGTTATATTGGGATGATATGAAGTATGTATTAGAGCATTCTTCCATTTTCAACCTCTTGTGTTGAAATTTCTGGAGGTGGTAGTATTAGTGTATTAACATATATAAAAAAAAAAAACAATATTTGGGCTTTTTAGTTTCAATGGTATTAATTTTTATTTATTTTTGTGGGGATTGGGGCGGAGGTTCCTCTAGGGAATTTGCGGGCATCCAGGTTCCTCTAGGGAATTTGCGGGCATCCAGGTTCCTCTAGGGAATTTGCGGGCATCCAGGTTCCTCGTAGGGAATTTGCGGGCATCCAGGTTCCTCGTAGGGAATTTGCGGGCATCCAGGTTCCTCGTAGGGAATTTGCGGGCATCCAGGTTCCTCGTAGGGAATTTGCGGGCATCCAGGTTCCTCGTAGGGAATTTGCGGGCATCCAGGTTCCTCGTAGGGAATTTGCGGGCATCCAGGTTCCTCGTAGGGAATTTGCGGGCATCCAGGTTCCTCGGGAATTTGCGGGCATCTGCCTAAAATATTTTAATATAGTATTTAATAATTAAAAAATAGTCCACAATAATTTATATATTATAATTAGAGTCTCTAAATCAATTACTATTTTTTTATGTAATTATATTAAAGGACTTCCTTNAACATTAAAAAAAAAAAAAAAAAAAAAAAATCAAGATGAATATCATCGAAATACGGAGGAAAGAGCATGGGCCAGGTTCGGGCCATTGGGTAACCCAGGCCCAGCAGTTTGGAAGTCTGCTAATCCCCAAGAAACGACATGTCGGTACTGGAAAAGGTGAGCAGCGTGGAGGAAAGAACTGAAAAATTAAGAAGAAAGATTGTGGAGTTGGGAGAAGCAGAAAGGCATTGCCACCACAAATTCTCTCAACCTTCAATTATCTCCACCTCATGTTCCCGACCAGCGTCCATGGCCGGCACATGCACCTCCTTCTCTCGCCATCTCATCCAATCCACCGTCTCCGACCTCGCCAGAACAATTCGCACCGCCGCCCCCTTTCATCTTCCTCGATTCTCCGCCAAGATCGCCCTTTCCTCCTCCAACGACCTCGCTCAAGGCCCCTCTTGCATCTTCGTCGGCCCCATCGACACCGCCAGTCAAGAAACCCTTGAAGCTCTCTATCTTCAGGTTCCGCTTTTCTACGCCTTTCAACCTCTCTCTCTAATCTCCCTCTCTGGTCTCCGTCTTTCACTTGTGTTCTTGTCGTGGTGGTTTTTTTAGGCTAGGGATGCATATTATAATGGTCAACCGTTGATCCTTGATGATATGTTCGATAGAGTCGAGGTAAGCTCGCTATGGGAAAACAAATTCTCCACAGATCTTGGTTGTTTTCTTACTCTATTCTTCATTGAATCAGTTGAAATTGAGGCGGTATGGTTCCAAATCCGTGGTCAAATATCCTCGTTGTAGTCTTCGACGGCAATTGACGTATGCGGATGCTGAGGTGATTCTCCTTCTCATTTCTTTCTTTCTTCTGCTAGGGCCACTGAAATCTGGTTCTTATGGTTCATCTGTTTAATTTCGTAAAAAGAACTTAAGGCACGAATGTAACTTACAATTGCTTAAATTCAACCCTATGGTTCATATTCAACCCTATAAATGAAGTTTTTTATGGTTTTAATTTGATATAAATATGTTTTTGTTTGGGTATGAATGATTGATCGATTTGTGTGAGATGAAACACCAAGGGTGTGGAAACCTCTTCCTAACAGACACGTTTTAAAAACTTTGAGGGGAAGTTCGAAAGGGAAAGCCCAAAGAAGCCCAAAGAGGATAATATCTGCCAGCGGTGGGCACACCGGGTGATGTGCCAGCGTAGGGCTGAGCCTCGAAGGGGGGTGGACATGAGGCATGTGGTCAATGTGTGTCAGCAAAGAGGCTGAACCCTGAAGGGGTGGACATGAGGTGATGTGCTAGCGAAGAGGTTGAGCCCCGAAGGGGGGTGGACCTGGTGGGGCTCTCATATCGATTGGAGAAAGGAACGAGTGCCAGCGAGGACGCTGGATCCCGAAGGGGGTGGATTGTGAGATCCCACATCGGTTGGGGAGGAGAACGAAACACTCTTTATAAAGATGCAGAAACCTCTCCCTAGTATGTGTTTTAAAAACTTTGAGGGAAAGCCTAAAGAAGACAATATCTGCTAGCAGTGGGCTTGGACGGTTACAATTTGTCTGCACTGAAATCCTTTTGCTCTCTTGTCTTCTCTTTTAGCTTGCTTCATTTGAATATTCAATGACATGAATGTAGGGCAGGAGGATCTATCACAGGTTCTTGCATTAGCAGGCATATGGTTGGTGTTCCTCGCACTTGGCTGTTCAGCATGTCTTGTTCCCTTAATCTGCACGGCTGTCTTAGTTTTCAAGGATCCACTCAGTTTAGGACTTTCCTATAACAGCCAAGGATCTGCATTTCAATTTCTTTCAGCTATAAATGCCATCCTCTTCATCGGATTTGGGTCTCTGATTGGCTACCCAATTGCTTCAGCTTCTGGTAAAACTGATGCTCGTTGATTTTGCGATTCGATCGAAATCTTTGTAGAAATTCAATTTTTCACTAATTGTTATGGACTTATGGCTCTCATATTCAGGGTTCTGCTTTCTCATATTTACTGTCTTTTGGCTATTGCTGCAGTGGGAGTACTTCAGGGCTTATGGAGAAATGATTTGGTGGCACTAAAAGGAGCTTGCCCAAATTGTGGAGAAGAAGTATGTTGTTTTGAATGGCTTGTGAATCATTCCTTTATGTTTTTCTCCCCCCCATTGCCATAATTCATGAACGAATACTAGCTTCGTTGCGAGAACATATTTTTACCTGGTTAAATCATTTTCTCTTTTAGGTGTTTGCATTTGTGAGATCGGATCATACGAATGTCTCTCCTCATAGATCAGACTGTCATGTATGCGAATGCTTGTTGGAATTCCGTGTCAAGTTCGAGGTAATTTACTTCACTTTTGTTCCAAACCACACTAAAGCTGGAAATGATCATCATGCAATTATCTGTTTATCCTTTTTCTGAACATGATCCCTTTCTCCTTGAGAGAGAGTGGAAAAGAGTTTCATATCTGAAATTTCTGTAGATCATGCTCAGTGCACATCTTATGAAACTATTACCTCCAAGTTTTGGCTTGGCCTGTCTTGAGCTCTATATGAGTTTGAGGTTTCCTTCGTAACTCCTGAAACTTCTTCGTAGTGGCTCCGTTCCATGCTTCATTTTACAGAGAACCTCAAAGTGGCTCTATTTCATTATATTCCATCCATATCCCAATTCCATGCATTTAATATCCCTGTAGTGTCATTGAGATAAGAGATGTCGTTTCTAGTCTATCTGATTTTATTTCTATAGATATGGAAAGTTAAAAAATTATAATCCCGAAATTTCAATAGGAAAGAAAAGGGAGGTTTGTTATGATTTTAAAATTTTTTTATACTTGGAGATAATCAATAAGTTCATAATGGGATTGTTGGGGGCAAAAAAAAAAAAAAAAAAAAAACTATTATGAAGAGACGAATGCTTAATCGGGGGTGGGTATTGTGCAGAAATCGAGTTCGAGACTAGGTCGACGATGGGTTTATGGGCGTGTCTACCTTGTAAGAGGTAAAAGCAGGCAACAAAGATTGCTGTAGGAGCAACTTGTCTATATGCAGTGCCATGATTCTTTTTCAGTCTTAATTTGCTTGCAATGAGGTCTTGTAGTTAGTTGTACCATTACAGACATAGCGCCTGCTAGGTGATTACAATTCAAGTTAGCTGCTGCCTGTAGTTTTGATAATCTAGCTAAGTTTATGAAAACCTTAGCCCATGATGTCTATGGATCCAACAATTTAGCCAGTTTGAGAATCGGCAAGTAACCATTCTGATGCTGCAATTGAGTATTCACTTTGGTCGATTTCCTATCCTTCATGCCAACTGATCTGGGATCGAAATTTTGGGGGCAAATTCGAGATACCCTGTGGAGAGTATGCTGAGAAGATGGCAAGGATTTTGAGAATCGTTGGAGTGTAACCATGTCAAGTCTAAAAGATAAGCTCATGAAGGAGGTCGTAGGACATCTTGGGCAAGTATGTCTATATTAGGTGACCAAAGAGACCACGTCAGAAGCCCACGAGATGAACACCAAGCTAGACATGCTCAATCGAGCTTAAATGAAATTTATGCTCGAAGTCAATAGGAAATGTCACTTTTCATTTACTATAAAGTAGTGTTGTAATTTCGTTGTGAAATTTCTCTCAGTGTTCTTTTTTAAGCTGCTTTGATCGATTAGATTTCGTAGAGTTTAAAATCTTGAAAATCGGAATATATATATTTTTTAAACCAAATTTGTTAGGAGTGTTCACATGACTTAGAACAAAATAACCCAAACCACCTTGGTTGAGTGGAAATTTTGAAATATAAAAAATTCAGTTTAATTATTAATATAACATGTATCAACGGCCTAGGGCTCTACACAACTTAAGACGTTTTGATCTCCAATCTAACCAAAGAAATTTCAAATGGGTCCAAATTTTCTCCAACGAGGAGTTGAGTTGTTTTCTCTACAATCATATCTCTCGTGAGATTTAATGATTTTGACACGTATGATTGGTAGTCAACACATGAAAATGGTTTTGCTTTCAGCCATATTTTTGTTTGTTTAACATTGGTGTACCTTTGACGACTTTTTGTTCGTGGTGTAGGACAGTTTTGAAAAGCTATTTTGTCCTAATATCTCAATATTTCGTAGGAAGCCGTACTAAGACTTAAACTAGAAATCCTAATTGGGTCCCTTGAAGCACGCAGAGAAATTGTCAATTAAATTTGATGATTTTGACATATATAATCAGTAGCCAACACTCGAAAATGGTTTCTCTCTCGGCCATACTAGGAATTCAATCCCAAAAACAAAAATAAAATTTTTTAAAATTATTTGTTTCAAGATTTTGAATTTTAAAATTTAAAAAATTATATTAAAATTTTTTAATAAATGAAAAAATATAATATATTATAAACTATATGATACGGTAAGTAATAATTATACAAAAAGAAATCAATTAATTGTATTTTTATTGAATTCCTTATTCTTTAGAATATGATTGGTTGGAAGGCGAAGAATAATATCTTTTATGGCATTGGCCCATGACACCACAGTTGAGGTGGAAAAGGGCGTAATTAAAAAGTAGTGGTATGAAAGTGGGCATTAGACACCTCAATCATGCACATGTTTGGCTCAAACCATGTTTGGTGCACATGCCCACCCTACAATATTATTGTATTCATTCTTTTCAATCACTCATTTTTATACCTCTACGATGATCAAAACGAGTAGTTACAAGATCGAATTCGTGTAACAACTCTTATCATGATTCTGGTATCGTCTTTATTGAATTCGTAGAGTTTATTATAAGATAAACAATGGAAATTAACGTTGGATGAACCGTGTTTAGATATGATGCATTTTTCTTTTTTTCTTTGTTTTACTTCAACTCCTATCGTTTGTCACGTACATAGAAGAATTGATGTAATTTGTATGTCAAAGGGTGTGGAAACCTTTCCCTAGTAGATGTGTTTTAAAATCGTGAGGCTGACAACGATACAAAGCAGACAATATCTGTTAGCAGTGGACTTGGACTGTTACAAATGGTATTAGAGCCAGACACCGAGCGGTGTGCCAATGAGAACACTGGGTCTAAAGGGGGTGGATTGGAGAATGAAATATTCTTATAATGGTGTGAAAACTTATCCCCAGTAGACGTGCTTTAAAATCGTAAGGTTGACGACGATACGTAACCGGCCAAAGCGGACAATATCTACTAGTGGAGGGCTTAAATTGTAAAAAATGGTATCAGAGTCAGACACTGGACAGTGTGGCAACGAGAACGTTGGGCCATAAGGGGGGTGGATTGTGAGATCCCATATCGGTAGGGAACAAATTCTTCCTTATAAGGGTGTGAAAACCTCTCCCTAGTAGACGTGTTTTAAAAAATTGTGAGGCTCGCAGCGATACGTAATAGACCAATGGACAAATATCTATTAATGGTGGGTTTGGACTGTTACAATACGTATCAAAGCCATATGCCAACGACGATGACGCTGATCCCTAAGGGGGTGGATACGTTTTAAAATCATGAGAAGGCTAACGACGATACGTAACAGACCAATAAATCACCCTCAATGGAATGTTGTCTCGATTCATTGGCGTATATATTTTTAAGTTTTTTTTCTCTTACAAAGCAATGGTGCTTTGAGGGTGGGGGCAAAAGTGTAATAAAATGGACTTTGCTGAAAGCCGCGTGGACGGCATTGGAGGGCGAGCGGAGGCAACCAGTTGAAAGAGAAAACAAAGAGAGCAGCAGTCATCTTTTTCTGGTAATTTTCCCTAATATTGACTCCAATTCTAGACGCCAATTCGTTTAGTTAGCATTCGCAAACGCCATTAAACCGCCATTCCATTTCCAAATTTCCCCCTTTTTCTCAATCGGAGATCTATCTCTTCCGCCCTTCTCCGATCCCAATTTTCCTCTCTAAACCCATTTCTTCTTCACGATCATTAAACCCTAATTCCCCTTTTTCAATCTCTTCTTCTGGGATTCGATTGTTTGCAGGCGTTTCTGATTTGCAGAAGTAGTGTGTTTATTCTAAGTGGGAACAACAATGGGTACCCATGAGAAGAATGAGAATAAGGGCGGCTTCTTTGCTGCCATGACTTCTGGAATCTCCAAGCTTGGCAATGCCATGCACCGATCTGTCAATGGGTACTTTGATTTTCGTACTTCCGACATTGATATCCACTTTTTTGGGGGTTTCTCAAGCTGTTCTTGGTTCTATTGCTGTTTTTGTTTGAATTATTTGCTCTAATGTTTTCTTGTCGGGCTGATTTGTAGACAACCTTAGATTTCTACAAAACCTGTTTCATTTTCCTTTTTGTACAATTGTTTCATCGGCGTTGTTTTGAACTAGTTCTTGCTTATTGAAGTTCTACTTTTGTATGAGCTTGATCTCCTACGGATCCCTAGTTGAGATTTTGAAAGATCAGTAAAGTTTCTTTTCTGCTGAATATCTGCATACTCTGAGTTTTAGTTTCTTGATAAGAAAATAGGATGTAGATAAGCACGTCACTTCAATTCATGACAGTGTTCTTGAGCTCATAACTAGGAGAAATGTTTTCCAGAGCCATTGAAACCAGATCGCTTGTCTCATTTTCCAATATTATTGTTTCTAGTCTGAATCGCGTCGTGGTTACTGCACTTCTTGTGTTTCGTCTGCTGTCTTAGAATCTCTGGAAGTGTTTTTTGTTGCATAAGATAGCCTCATACATGTGGATTCAAATGCTTAGGGGTTAGAGTTTACATGTGATGTAAAACGGTTCGTTTGCCTGGAGAATTTTCGTTGGAGTACTCATCAAAGCTTTGTTTTCTCCCGTTTTGTTAGCTGAACTCGAAGTTATGAAACCGTTATTATTAATACAAAGGTTGTATCAATGTTATGAGTTTAACTCATGATTACCATGCGTCTCTTTGCCCTCAGGTTTCTTGGTTATGAAGGGGTAGAAGTTATAAATCCTGAAGGAGGTAAAGAAGATGCAGAAGAGGAAGCTCACAAAGGAAGATGGAAACAAGAGGTTTTTCTCATTTATGCTCTTACCTCTTTATCTTTGCTTGCTTTGTATCTAGTTTTCCTCTTTTCATCCTACAAATTAATTAAGTGTGAGATCCCACATTGGTTGGAGAGGGGAACAAAGCATTTCTTACAAGGGTATGGAAGTCTCTACTAGCGGTAGGCTTGGGCCGTTACAAATGGTATCAGAGCTAGTCACCGGATGGTGCGAGGCACTAGTCGGAGTAGGGTTAGACCCTCTCCATAGTAGACGTGTCTTAAAACCTTGAGGGGAAGCCCAAAAGGGAAGGGCTAAAGAGGAAAATATCTCCTAGCGGTGGACTTGAACTGTTACAAATGATATTAGAGCCAAACACCAGGCAGTGTGCCTCGCTGGCACACTGACTCCCAAGGGAGGGTGGATTGTAAGATCCTACATTGGTTGGAGAGGGGAATGAAACATTCCTTATAAGGATGTGGAAGCCTCTCCCTAGTAGACTCGTTTTAAAAACTTTGAGAGGAAGCCCAGAAGGGAAAGCTCAAAGAGGACAATATCTGTTGGCGGTGGACCTAAGTCATTACATTAGTGCTTAGTGGGGAAGTTAACGATGTAAGACGATTCAGTCAAGAGGAGAAAATAAGGACATAATACGATTCGGTCAAGGGCTGATCTTTCTCTGTGAAGTTAGGCTCGGGTTCCTGCAAACCCAGTACACAAAACAGAAATGTTTCTTATTTACTCTACCGCGAGTGTGGAAGGCTTTTTCTTCACTTTTGGAAGCGAGGAGTCTTGCCTTCTATTCTTCTTCCTCTTGTATGTTTTCCATAAAATTATTAAAAAGCTTTTTCGGGTAACAGGATCGTGAAAGTTACTGGAAGATGATGCACAAGTATATTGGTTCGGATGTCACATCAATGGTCACTCTTCCTGTAATCATTTTTGAACCTATGACAATGCTTCAGAAAATGGCCGAGGTTTCGTTTCTCTTTTGGTATTATTTTTATTTACTCGTTCGAACTTTTTCCTTTGTATCATGACGCTAATAGTTGAATATTTACTACAGTTAATGGAATACTCCCACTTGTTGGATCTGGCGGATGAATGTGAGGATCCTTATATGCGGTTAGTGTATGCGTGTAAGTACGAAAATCTTAGTTTTGCTTAAAGGCCGATCGAGGCGTTTTTTCTTGTTGAAGATGAAGTTGTTTCTTTCGCTTGTTACAGCATCATGGGCTATATCAGTGTATTATGCTTTTCAAAGGACTTGGAAGCCTTTTAATCCTATCCTCGGAGAGACTTATGAATTTACTAATCATAATGGGGTCTCATTTCTTTCAGAGCAGGTGAATTTCAAAGATCTTTTTTCTCTTCTTCATGTTCTAATTTGATCCCTTTTTTATGCATACTATTATGCCAAACAATGTTTTCAGGTGAGCCATCATCCCCCAATGAGTGCCGGGCATGCCGAAAACGAGCACTTTATTTATGACGTAACTTCAAAGTTGAAAACTAAGTTCTTAGGGAACTCGTTGGATGTCTATCCAGTGGGAAGGTAAAGTTCTACTTTCCACTCTCTTTCTATCCCCTTCAGCCCATTGCTTATCAATCTCGCTCCGAAACGTCAAGGGAGCAAGTTATAACTTATAAACTAACATACCCTTGAGATCATAGGT